TAGGCCGGCCGTGTGATTTTTTCCGCTTTCTACAGCCAGCTATATGATTTTCTGTTGCCTTCTTTAGCCGGCTATAAGAATTCCTATGGTATTTTGAAACGCAGCTCTTATTGCCAATTTTTACCGAGGAGATCAGAGAGAAATTAGTGAAATTTTCAGGGAGAAATTCTCAGAATTTTTCTGATATAAATGAAATATGCGCGGAAATATCTGACAACGAGGAAATTTAGTTATGTTCTTTCGTAAGGGGAACGATGAAATGGATCGCGTTAAGCAGAAAGGAAACAAGCCATATCAGCTTTTGCAAAATAATCAAGCCATTTATTGTTTTACGTGAAAACGGTTGTGCGGATTTTTCTGCAAATTTCAGTGAATTTTCTGAGTAGTACGAAGCAAATTGCTCAAAAAATTCAAAGGAATCCACACAGACGTTCTCTCGTAAAAAAATAAATCGCTGAATTACATTTCGCAATAGCTGATGTGACTTGCTTCCTTTTTGCTTAACGCGATCCAATTCGCCGTTCCCCTTACGAAAGAACGTATAACTAAATTTCCTCGTTGTTTTTCCGCGCATATTTCATTTATACCAAGAAAATTCTGAGAATTTCTACCTGAAAATTTCGCTAATGTCTCCTCTGATCTCATCCAAAACTCAAAAAAAATTCGACAAAAATCATGCAGGTTTATTCTCGTAATAAATTGATTTGTTTGTGTCGATTTGCTGGTTGGTCGAATTGCTGAGTTCGATTGAAAATTCCCGACTCTGGTATAAGAACTCTGTTTTGTCTCAGTGATTCCCAAGTAGCATTTTTTGACGGAAAAATCGCGATATATTGCGATTATCGGCGATAAAATCGCTAGATCATCAACATCTGAGCGATTATCCTCGATCTTGTTGCAATATAATCGCGATTTTATTGTCCTGCGCAATTTATCGCGATATTATCGAAACCAAAATCGCGGAACATGGCGATTTAATCTCGATTTTATCCACGAAAATTGATCGCAAATTTATCGAACAAAAAATCGCTATGCATAGCGATTTAATCGCCATAAATCGCAGTTTTTCATTCGATAATATTGTGACGGATTGCCACCGATGTAACCAACCGATAAAATCGCTATTTATCGCAATTTTCTTTCAAGAATTAAGAAACTACTCTGTTGTCTCTTGTATACTGATTTATTACATTGTAAAGATATTGTATATAATTCCTTTGGAAGTTTACAAAATAAAAATCTAAAAAAAAAAAAAAAAAAAAAAAAAAAAAAAAAAAAAAAAAAAAATGTATCGCAATCACTGTTACTTGGGAGTGATTCTTAGCTCGCTACTTCAACTCCACCATGAAGCTCGGAATAGAGAAGAAGAAGAAGAAGAAGAAGAAGAAGAAGAAGAAGAAGAAAAAGCGCAGGGTCACCGCGGAGGCGCCATGGATGAATCACGAGCGGCAAAAGTTGACGCTGGGGCGATATTTTGATTTCGGTCATCTGCGGCGCGCTTCATGCGGCAAGAATGCCGGCTATCGACGCGTCTTCGGGGCTTTCGAAACGAGAAACCAAAATATCCGAGGACCGGACGTAAACAAGAGCGTCTTTTGGCTCCGCTCACTGACGTCACGGCCGGCTCCGTCTTGCCGCCACGACGCGACGCGACGGTCGTTGCATCCTCCCGTGGACCCGACGTTAACGTATTTTGAATTTCGATACTCGACAAATTTCCGGTGCTTGACCCGCGTCGGGGAGATCATGACCTTGCGGTCCACTCGGTCCATGATCATGTGGACATCTATTTTGATGGGAGACACGAGAATCCCTTGACAGGGTCCACGCTGGAGTACCTGTATAGCGAGAGTGTGGACAGATGTGAAACTCCGAAAATCCATCAGGCCTTCACCGATGCATCTGCGAATAAAGTTAGGGCCCAGAAATGCAGCCAACCTATATGAATTTCAATTGGACGTATTTCTGCCAAACGGACCTAAGCGCCATAGGGTGAGGAAGGTAGAGGAGGGCTTGGATTGGCGGCGGAATCAGGCGTCCGGCTTATACCGTCCTATACTCGCAATACTTTTCCATGGCGCTTAGGTCCGTTTGACAGAACGCGCTATCCGGGATTCTAAATTCCTCAAAAGGAACTCAAATTGGCGCTTAGTTCCGTTTGACAGAAATACGTCCAATTATCCGGAACGATTTACTAATTAATACTATTGTTACGAACCGTCGTTTATAAAGCACGTATTTGACTCAGTTTCTGCATAAAACTCATTTTGCGGAAGAACGCTCATTTCTGTGCATTCTTGGCCATCTTGGTTAGAATTGGAATTTGCAGACTCTGCAGACTGGCAGTGAAATTGTGTGCGTGTTAGAAGTTGGTTAGAAAAGGATGGCTGCACTCTTGGGCCCTAAGACTTCCATGAAGCGATCTGTCCATACTCTCGCTATTCAGGTACTCCAGTCCACGCAAAATGAGTTTGCGCACTTCTCTGCCGTGCTAAGGAAAAACGCCGTATGAACCATTAGTCGTTGCCAAAGTTCCTTCAATAGAAAACGCATTTCCGGGGGAAAATATGGATGTATTTTTTTTTCAAATTTTTTAGAAAATTTTGTCTCAATTTAAACATAAAATGCCTGTAAATTTCGAACAGAAATATGCGTAACTTTCCTCAAAAATACATGTTTTATCCGAGGAATTTTGGCAACTCTTGAATTTTCATACGGCGTTCTTCCTTAGCATGGCAGTTCTAGGCTGCGACAGAGGATCTTCTGACGTCACTTTTACAAGTAAAGTAAATGGAAGAGGCAAGATAGCGGATCTTCTGTTGCTGTCTAAGAGTGCGTAAACTTACTTGGCGTGGACTCTACCCAGGAAAGTTGCACCAACTCGAGTCCTGGACAGGGATGGAGAAAAAAATTTCACGGAACGGAATTTCATTGAATTTTACAAAAATTTTCATTGGATTTCACATGAAATTTCATCAGCGATAACATAAATTTTCATTTTCTGAAAAGTGAACGTCCTACGGGACGGGCAAAGGAGCAGTTCGATGGTGAAAGTGCAGAAGTCCCTGGAGAAAATTAGCGATAGGAGCTGCGTCTCAAAATACCATGGGAGTTCTTATAGCCGACTAAAGAGGGCTATTGAAAATCATATAGCTGGCTGTAGAAAGCTGAGCAAATTATATAGCCGGGCTATACGAAGCTGTAAAAAAGTATACAATCGGGCTATAGTTCCTATCGCTGGGCTTTACACTTTATCGCCATTGGCTATAAAAGGCTGTAAGAAATTGTGTAGAAATTCGTGTGCTTCGGAAATCATTAAGTTTCATAGGAACTACCTTAATATTTACAAAACACACATTATATTTTTCCTTAAAACATATTTTTTCCATCAATTAAAATAAGAATAATCCATACAGAGTGTGCAAACATTTCAAAATCATGATGAGTTGAAAAACGCTGACTTCGCGAGATTAAATATTAGAGCCTAACACAAAGCGGAGCAGCGATGCACTGGCACCTACAAACCTAACAGGGATACCTCACGCATTGCGCAATGCGTGAAGTATCCCTGTTAGGTTTGTAGGCGCCAATGCGCGTTACGCGCTCTCGGCCGCCCGCCTCGCCGCAGCGTGCCACGGCGTCTGAAGCAACTATTTCACACCAGAGGTATTGCACAGTATCATTAGAAATTGAAGGCGTCCCAACATCTTAAGAATGACAAACATCCTTCAAAAGTACGGAGCTTTCCTCGCAAAATAAATCAAGATACTACGGCACAAAAAGAGAGCGGTGGTCCAAAAACTAACTAAGTCCTAGTATCCGTATTTAGTAACGTTTAGCATAAAATTTATCGTCTGGCTGTTGCTTGATCGCCATCGGCTATAAAAGGCTATAAGAAATTGTGGAGCCGGCTACAGAAACTATTGGAAATCTTACAGCAGACTTTGGGTCTATAGTATTTTGGAACACACATTCTACTGCCAATTTTTACCAGGGTGCGTATCTCGGAAAACACGATATTCCAGGAGAGTAAAAAACTGTCTATACATTCCTCTTTATTATTAGAAGGGAGATTACTCCCCCGGGGCCTGTCCACCTGTCAATCAAGGAGTCCAACCTCGGGTGCTGTCATTGTTTATGTGTTAACCAGAGTGTTAATGACAACATCCAAGAGATGTCGCACATTTTTTAACAAATGTGATGTCACTATAGTACCTTTTTTTATGCTCCTTTTTTATGGACGGTCACCGTTTTTCGCAGATAAAAAAATAAACTGGTAAATAAAAAAAAAAGATTATAAAACAAATAAATTGATTTGGAGAAAAAACTGTTCTTCTGGAAAACTGGATTAAAACGGAAAAGTAAAATTTTTTGGACTCAGAGGATCAAATTATCGTAGAATAATAGCTTTATATCAGCATTTGGCCGGCGAGGTCAAAATAATATCGGGGAAATCTGGTGGGCGATAAAAAAAAGAAGGGTTGAGGGAGAAGATCGAAATAAAGTAACAATAAAACACCTTCCCCTGAGTCTGGAAAATTTTTAACAATTTTTCTGTAGAACTGTGTTATAAATTAATCCTGATAAATTTCAACTGAGTTTATCCGGTTTCTAGATCATCAATTACTTTTCAGGCACGACTGTAGAGAATCGAAAGTTCGAAAATAGCCTATTAAATATTAAAAGGCACGCAACTCAACACTATCAGAAACGCAGTGCACCAAAAATGGTATTTGGTGTAAGACTAACACAATGATGAAATAATGCCTCTCAAATATTCTTGCAAATTGTCCACGAACATATTGAACTGGGTGCGGACCAATCGAGCAAGACCGATAATTTGAATTATTTCAGAAACCCGCGCTATAAAAACCCGCCAAAATCCTTTTGAGAGAGATTCCTTGATTCGTCAAGGAACACCTGAAGAACTCCCACATTCCAAAAATGTTTTTCTTGTTTACTTTTTGTTTTAAGGTTATGGTTACGTCATGTTATCATGCCCCATTCCCGTTTTGCGTTTTGCGATGATAAGTTTATCAGTGGAAGTGCAGTTTGTCATGACTCACAAGTTAAACAACTGAAGTTCGCTCTAATTTTAATTAGGACACTCCAACGTCACTTTATGAACTTGGCGACACCCTGTCTTATCTTCTGAAATTGTTTTCGTTAATTGTGTATTTCGCATCTCTCAAAAACGTACATTTTAGAACCCTTGAACAATGCTCAGAGCCCACGAGAAAATATATTTTCGTCTTCGCGACCCCGGTGCACGTTTTACGCTCAAAATTTGTGGAAATGTTGACAGCTTAAACGTCTGTTACGATTTAAATCACTAACATCTGTATTCCAGTCCTAAGAGCAGTCTCCTAACAATACCACAATGGTTTTTGAATCTATTGTCGCCGACTTGTTAAACAAGTATTTAAGTCAATATGTTGAAAACTTGGACCGAACTCAATTGAAAATTGGAATATGGGGTGGTAAGTTATGATCGAGCCTTGTATGTACTCATCAAACAAGCGTTAAAGCTGCTATAGGGTGAAGGACAATGTGTCCAAGGGGAATTTCTTTCTTTATTGGACCCTCATTGTCGTGCAAAATCCTTACTGGTAGATGTATTTTTTTTAACACCACTTAACTTTTCATTTGATCACTGCGCACATGATTATGAGCTAATAACTGAATAAATTTCATGCAATCGAAGAATAATATCGCCAATGCAATAGGCGATAAAGTTATGTAACTTTAGAGGTGTGCAAGACTGAGGGGTGGCTTAAATTTTCGTTTAGTATCCTCAACAGTAGGATCGCCTAAATTTCTTTTTGTTCCATTGAATTTAGTTTCAAGGGTTACCAAGCAAGATCCAAACAATTTTAGACTGAATGCCATCGAGAGTAGAGGAACGTCACTTCTAGTTCTAACATTAATCGGGGTGTGCAAAAAATTATTTTTTCCTTACTTATTACACAAGGTTTTAACCAACCACAGCACAAAATGACAGGCTAGTTAATCACCCGATCTGCTTTCCTTCAGTGGTAGCATTGTATTGGTACTTTTGAATTGAGTGATGAAATTCCGCATGCTATCAATTGCACAATTGCACATGATGTGCACCTCCGTAAACAAAATTTCAATTCTTAGGACCATGTCGACGGTGAAAGTCGGCAATCACATAACTCGGTTTGCGACGTCGCAGACTTCCTGTCATACTTTATTTTTTAAACGGAGAACTACTCAACGGTATTTCTTTAAAACTGCCGTGATTTTTCTTATATGTGCGAGGAAAATTCTGCAAAAATGTCAAGGAATCATGTCCATTTGTTCTCCTTTAAAAAAATAATATAGTTGCGGAGATTTTCAGACACCGCAAACGAGTTATATGATTGCCGACTTGCACCGTCGATGTGCTCTTAGAGATATCAGTAGGTGAATTTAATTTATATGATTTGTTTTGTAAACATCAGTGTCTACATCGAACAATCTAGTTCATATGACTATTGGTGGGATTGATGAGTTGAAAGTTTTAAGCTTGAATCACAGTGACTCATTGGAAAAAGTACGCTGAGCTCTTGCCTCAGTCCCAGAATAATAGGACAGAAAAATTCATGAAGGCGAGCACTGGCTCAATTTTATGTTTAAATTTATATTTTTTTTAGGGTACTTGAAATTTAATTCTGCTAAAAAAATCAGAACCATCAACCAGCAGAAGTACTCAGTTGCACTTACATTTTGACGGTGTAAGTCGGCAATCACATAGCTCGGTTTTCAACGTCGCAGACTTCCTATCATACTTTATTTTTAAACAAAAACTACTCAACGCCAATTCTTTAAAACTGCCGTGACTTTTCTTCTCTGTGCGAAAAAAATTCTGCAAAAATTTCAAGGAATGATGTCAATTTGTTCTCCTCAAAAAAGTAACTTAGAGGCGGAGATTTTCAGACACCGCAAACGAGATATGTGATTGCTGACTTACACCGTCGATTTGCACAATTGTGTATGCATTGTAAATTTTTTATTTCTCAAAATTTTAGTGTGCATTTCTGTGTGAATTAAGCTCATTTTTACTGCGTTTTATGTGGTATCAATGATAGTTGCATTCTTACATGTTCTTGTTTTTAACTTTAGGGGATGTAGTTTTGAAGAATCTGATGATAAAGTCAGGTGCCTTAGACGAATTGAATTTGCCCCTCAAAATAGTTTATGGTGAAATCGGTGAGCATTAATTAATTTATTAATAACTTAGTTATATGTGTAGACATTTATTTATCATTAGCCACCTCTGTTGATGAATGAATGGCAAATCTAATTAATCGCATCAGTGCTAATTTTTTATCTAAAACATTTCTTTTGCATATACAAAATGCACTTTAATTTTGGTGGGTCAAGAACCACTCACATTTAATCCAATGACAGTTCATCTCATCGAGTTAACCCTCTAAGGCATATCGTTACGAATTTGTTACAATGTATTTTCGGGTTTTTACAAACTGAACCATTCCTCTGGGACATAATTTGCAAATTTTCACTAGCTTTTTCTTCTTTTGAATAAATGATTCCAAAATTTAAAATTTTGAAGAAAAAAAATTGGTACTGTACGTCTTATATGCAAGCTATGAAATGGATACGTGTCCTCCAGAATCTGAAATCCAAAATGAATTCATGTCATAAAGGGTTAAGTCGATAAAGAGTAAATCAAAGGAACCATTGAGTCAGGAGAAATATTGAGGGTGGAACTCCCAAACAATGGATCTAGGTTTGCGACACTGCAGACTTCCTGCCATACTTTTTTTTTTTTAATGGAAAACTACTCAATATCAATTCTTGAAAACTTCCGTAATTCTTATTCTCTGTGCGAAAAAAATTCTGTGAAAACTTCAAGGAATGATGTTGATTGGTCCTCCCTCATACCTATAAATAAAATGGGAGTGGAGATTTCTAACACCACAAATGAGCTGCATGCTCTGGAATTTTCATCATGGATATGTAGGTAAAATAAGAAGGTTGGTTCAGACAAGGTCATCTTCAAGTTCAGAATTTTCTGACAACAGATATTAATAGCCTTTTTTAGGCAGGAAAAATAATTATTTCTTTGGATAGAAGGTGGTTGGCGGAAAACATTTATGTAGAAATTCTATCATTAGTTGACACCTAAAGTCATTGAAATTATTAGTATATGGTGATGAGTGGCTGTAAATTCATAGTCAAGGGTATTGATACAGGAAAACATTTGGCGAAAGTTTACATCTCAAAATAATTTAAAAATTTGACTAAAGTGTACTAACAAAAGTCCCAATCATTATAGTCATTACAGTCATATTACAGTCCCATATCATTAGAATGAAAAAGGGGCTGGTAGAAAAAAATTGTGATAGCACCTAAAGTGTTTCAAGACAAACAGCTTCACATAGGTACCTACAAAAAGATATTTTGTGCGGTATGTGTTGCCCTTATTTGTAACTCTACAAATATCATGACATCTACCATTCTGATAATTTTAATGCTCTCCAGTATGATCAAAAATTCAATGTATAATGGAAAGATACTTTAACATTTATTGCTAACAGCTAAGTGTTAATGAAATCGTCGCCTTCTGGCCAAAGCATCACAAGCAGCATTTATGCTTAGATACGATGTTGTGGGACTTTTCGATATTGTTTTCATTTTTTCTTTAAAGCTTTTGCACAGGCATGCTTTCATGAGAATTTCAGGGATCAATTTTGACGAGAAAAGGAATAATAGATAAAATTTTTAACTGATCCTATTCAATAGTTTTTGCTTAAAAAATTGGACAAATCAAAGAATTTTGACAAAATGATGCCTAAGCACAAATGGCGCTTGTGTTACTTTGGCTGGTAGGTGACGAAATATTGATCTAGGCGTCCCTATGAAATATCCTTAGACAAAAATTCATCATCATCTCAGGTCACTCAAGCTCTTTTTTGTTTTTTCTGAAATTCATTTTTCTTCTTTTTTAGGCAAACTAGTACTGAAAATTCCATGGAAAAACTTGTATGGCTCATCTGTGGAAGCTTCTGTTGATTCCCTCTTCATGTTAGCAGTGCCATCGCAAGATATTAAATATGATGGTGAAAAGGAAGAACGTTGGGCGCAGGAAGCAAAACAAGCAGAGATATTGCGAGTAGAAATCGCCAAACAACAAGAAAGACTGAAAGGTAGAAAAATTGTATTTTAATACTCCTTTAGCCTCTGAGTGCTAAGTTTTCATATTATATGGGTCTAAAGTAAGACAATAAAATTTCAGTGAGTACATTTTTTATTAGTAAATGTTCCCCAGGACCCATTTCCTGACCACAGTCAAGGAGTTCACGGCAGAGTTCATGCAAGTTTGAAAACAATTTTAAATCTTGTTTTTTCCAAATTGTTTGTAAAATATCTAAGTTTTTCACAGAAAATATTCAACAAAAATTCTATAAGTATTTCAAACTGTTTCAAGCTATCGTGCCTTTCTTTGTTTATTCCCTTGTTTACGCCCTCTGTAATATTAGGGTGAAGTAATCATGGACAGCAGTCAATAGGTTTTTCACCCCAGATTGAAGTCAAATACCCATTTAAAGGTATGTGTCTTGTTACAATGCTACGTACCTTGACTAATTTTTTTATTATTATTATTTTTATCTCAAATTCTTGGAAATTTTAATTTATCATCCAGTTTGGTCTGGATTTGTTTTGGAACCAAAGGTATTTTGTATTTTTTCCAAACTTTTTTTTTTTGCCCATTTAGTATTGCTAAGAGGTAATGAAATATTCCACCATTCATGTAATCTAAGCCTTATTGGAATTGGAAAAATGTTGGATTTTGTTGTTGCAGTATAAGGCTGTATCGACTACTACCTAGTTGATTTTTCACGGAGTGTAACTTCAATAATTTTTCATTGAATTTTGTCTGAAAATTTTCTGTTTCTTTTGCAGACCAACCAAAGAGTGCAGATACTTTCACTGAAAAGTTAGCTGCACAAATCATTAGAAATGTTCAAATTAGAATCAATTCAATTCACATCCGGTATGAAGATCAGAGCACAAGACCTGAGCGACCATTTTCTTGTGGTCTCACTCTTTTCAATCTATCTGTTGTCACAACTGACCAAGATTGGAAACCTCACGTATCGTCAGATGCATCCACCATGATTTACAAGGTGATTATTCTTTCATTTCTCCTCTGAGTTTACGATTTTACTGCTCCAAAAACACACACACATAACACTGCTATAAGAACACAGGGTTGTTAATAAATGAGTGAAAAACGTATGGGCTTACATGAGCTTACATTCTTTTCTGCTTAGGTGTCATCAGTGGAAATGAAGACAATTTTTCTTTACATTGTACCTGGTCAAAGCTTTTGTTAGGATAGTGGACCGATTGTTTTAGATTACAGTCATAGGGAAAGGGTTCCTTTCAGAAAAGGTAATTAATTTATTTTTTTGGAGCAGTTATCCTGAGTCCAAAAAGAATTCCATCGTTATATATAACTAGTTCAGAGAAAGAAATTGTATGCAAATCGCATAATCTCTTTTTTTTTAGTCAAAGAAATGTCAGCAATACTGAATGGAGTTTAAAAATTGTCCCCTGATTAGTAATGGACCTCTAGACAAGGTGCAAATTTAAGCATTATGATACATGTTGATCTCGAACTTGATTCTTACTACAAAAATTACTGAAAGTACCTCTTAACAATGGTAATACCATTTTTTTATGCATAAATTCAAATTTTCTGCTTGTAAAAAAAAAAAACCATAATCTACAGTGGACTCTCGATAATTCGAACCTCGATAATTCGAAAACCTCGTTAATTCGAAGGAAAGTCGGTTTCCCTTGAAAATCTCTCGATAATTCGAAGAAAATCAATGTATTTTTCTCCCCTCGTTATTTCGAAATTTTTAAGCTGGCGCGGCCCTCTATAATTCGAAATTGCGACGAAAATTCCCTCTGTAATTCGAAGTGTGGGAAGTAAATATGGCCCTCCCTCTGTAATTCGAAATAAGACGGTACATTCCCTCTACAATTCGAAGTCAACTGTTTATGTATCTGGGTATCTGAAAGAGCTTGATCTTTGACCTAAGGATCTTTTGGTGTAAATTCGTCCATTTGCCCCTCTATAATTCGAATTCAGATGGCGCCTTCCCTCTATAATTCGAACCTCTCTAATTCGAAATTTCTCCACATGGAATCTCTTTAATTCGAACTCTCTTTATTTCGAAACCTCGCTAATTCGAATAAAAAGCCGATTCCCTTCAATTTCGAATTATCGAGAGTCCACTGTACTTAAGTTCAATCATTCACTATACGTTGCCGTGGTAGTCTATGCAGCATGGAAATATGATAACCTGAACATCAATACTTCGGATGTGCTATTGCAAATTATCCACATCATAGAGAATGCAGGACTGGGGAAAAACTTTGCTTTTTGAGAAGCCTTCCAAAACTTTTGCAGCGCAAGGTTTGATTCTGATTGTTCATGTGAGTGGAAAAATCAGAATGTTTGTGACTTATGCCAAATAAAAAGTTTATCCCTGTTGGGAGTTGATTTCAGTTGTACAAATCGTGTTTAACAAGAAATTTCAAAGCAGAAACATATATCAGCATGCGTAAATTTGTACCTTGTCTAGTTGTCCATTGCAAAATGAATAAACAGAATTTTCCTTAAATTTAAAATGAAATTTTACCCCTTACCATTAAGTCTTCTTCTAATAATTATGGATGTATCTAACCTAATTAATATTAAGGCTTTTATTTTCATCAGTTTCAATTTTATTAGTAGGTTTCTAATTGATTATTTTCTTTTTCAGCTCCTAACTTTAGAAGGGTTTGCCTTCTATTGGAACCCAAAGACGTTTCTGATATCAAAACAAAACATGAATAGCTATCCTCACTATTTTCAAGAGGGCATTGCCACTCATGAGTCTCTTGCAAAAGGCTACAGATATGGTAATAAAAAATAGAAGTGCTCATGCTCAGTTTATTCGTTTAACTTATAGTCGACTAAATACAGTCCTTAATCTTTATCGGCCAAATTCATTTCTGAATGTACATACTATTCAAGTGAGGTTAAATTTACAAGTTATTAAGATTATTGGAATTACTTAATTACTTAGATGATTTTATTGACTCACTCAGTGCTTACAATCAAACTTTATAAAAAAAAAAAACAAATAAAACTCTGAAGTATTTTCTAAAATAGTTTTATGCTTGCACAACGTGAATGACCCCAGAAATAGATTGTTGCAAGCAAGCCACTAACTGAGTTGTGTAATTAAAGAATGTCATGTTAAACGAAAGTAAAACTAATGCAAAAAAATCAACTTCAATTAAGGACACCGCCCGAATAACAGCCCATAACTGGAAAACACATTGTGAGAAAAACGCATTTAAAGTTTTGTACTTGATGTACCACGCCAACTGTGCTTTGCAGGTACCCTTTTTTGTGTTTTTAGGTGACCCAACCGTTCTATTGAGGGATGCCAAGTTGATATTGCGATACGTTTTCGGTTTTTACAGAAATATTCTTAATTTAAAGAGTCAGTCTACAGGCTGTCATTGCGCCTAACAATAATTTTCATTGAAGTTAGTAAGGAAATCATGATAATCGTGCAGAATTAATGCAGCATGAAATCATACCAATGCTGACTTTACAAGCTAATGCCAAAAAGAAACCAGCACCCTTTCTCTCCCATTTTAGCTTACAATGAATCATTGTAATGATTGAAGTTTGGTTGTGGTTCCTGTTTTGAAAAATGGTATGATGGTGTGAAAAGTATTGCAAATTGTACAGCCGTATACTAGCAGCTGTGCTAAAAATGTAGCTTCTATGAGGTAAATATTTGCACACGGAGCTTTTAAGGGCATGAAAGGCTTTCACGAGTATAAGCTTTTATTCCACCCATTGCGCCAGAGGCCTGACTCAACTCGGGAAAAAAAGGGTTTTTGACCTCCAGTCATTACCTAACTATTTTCTACCTATACCTCAGTGTAAGCCAGTGTACGGAGAATCCCAAAAGCCCATTTGAGCAGTAACGACCGATATGCATATAGGTTGTTGTTCGTGCGGTGTCCTCAATTATAATCAAGGCTGGATCAAAGTTAGAAAAATATGAAGTAAAACTAACGCATGAAAGTATCTTATTTCAATTTTCTGTGGCTTTTGTTCTGAAGAAATCAGTCAACGGATAAGAATCCCTTCTTCTAGGATCCTGACATATTTAGTGAAATTTTTCACTGCCAGAGGTTAAAATTGCGCCACTGTCAATAGTCACTTCGACACAAATCTAAACTGACATGGTGTATGTATCCTTGCGATTAATTTTTCAATTTGATCACAATAAAAGAAAAAAAATCAATCGCATTCAAAATGAAAATGTGCCAAATTGCACACCCTCACTGAAGACTTTAGAAGGTCTGTATGCCTTTATTCTTCTTCCTTCACTACATGTTCTCTTTTATATTAATCACAGTTACGTTTTATTCCAGTACTTGGTCCAATCAATTCCACAGCAAAATTGAGGATAAGTCCTAAGCCTGAATTGGATAACTTTAGTCTTCCAAAGTATCTTCTCGAGCTAGATCTACAACGACTCCAAATTCGTAAGTCTTTACCCCAAATCATACTATTACGGTAATATTTAAAGTTCATCTAATAATACTGCCTTTTTAGTTCTTTAAGGGTATCCTAAGTTAAGGGCTGCAGAATACTTGTCGCTAAAAATACGATGCACTCATATATCTCAACTGAATGCCTTTCTGTGATTTTTCTTTGTTTGTGTAATTTGTTCGTAAACTAATAAAGATTATTATTATTACATTACATTTACTATTGCAAAAAAAGGTCAGAAAATATAAAGTAAGAGGAGAAGAATCAAAGATCATTAAACCAGATCAGAATTTAAGAATCATAGAACTTTTTTTCCTTGTTAAAATTCAAGCAAAACCCATAAAGCATATTTTATATGTCGACTATTTATGATGACTTTTTTTTTTAATATTTTATTCAGTCAATTCAAATTTCCTACACACTACTAAAAACTACAATGTCAATTTAGACATTTGAAAAATATTAATTAACGAATAACTTGCGTTGAAGGTTTTTGAGAGGAAATTACTCAAAACGAATCTTGGGCTCCCTACCGTAGGATTTTTCCTTGCCTTTATGGCTTGCTCGTTGTAGTATCCTTCACGTGAACTCATCATATGAGTTTGAGCCTCCTCTACAGGATTTTAAACTACAACCTCTGTCTTAGTGGTCTGTCTCTGACCTCTCAAGAAGATGGATTGACTGGATAATAATAAATATTGGAGCTATCTGTACGTAGTTCCTTTAGAAAAAGGACTTTTGATGGACTACTAAAACATTTGGGGCTGGCTAAATTTTGATATTATTGGATATGATGTTTGTCTCGGTCTCCTGAACATGGTTTGCTTTTAAAATTAAAATTTTTATGTGCCAATCTCGAAAAAATTGGGGCTGAAAAATGAATTCTTCAACATTTTTACCTGCGATATTTATTATTTATGTAGCAAAAACTTATTAAAGATGAAAGAGAGCTTCTATCTCCTTGCTGGCAGGAAAGATAATACAGACGTAAAGAATCAAATTCCTCTGAATCGTATCAGCATGAGACCCAGTGGCCACACTGACACAGCAACAACCTCACATCTCTATTAGGAAAAGCTTGAAAGCAGGGCAAAAAATTTACTTTTCAGCTCCGCTTTACTTGAAGAGGACTCTTGGAAAGTTAACTTTCACAAGCTCATTGTGCCAAGGAGACTGTAAGGAGCATCATAGCAAACAAAACCGAAATTTAACTGGAGTCAAATTTCTTGGTATCATATGAATACTGCCGTGCTGAGAAAAAACGCCGTATGAGCCTTCAGGCGTTGGCCCTCTGGCAAATCACTAATTTTCAGGAAAATTTTTGAATATTTTTCTGCCAATTTCTCTGATAATTTTTTTTGTAATTTGATCGAAAGTGTCTAACAATTTCAAGGAAAAATATTCATAATTCTCCTCAAAAATAAACATTTTATTGAAGGAAATTTGGCAACTCTCGAATGTTCATATGGCGTTCTTCCTGAGCACGGCAGAATAGTAAATGGAGATTGTTTCCTTCTTTATTTACCTCCAATTCTGCTTGGACAGCAGGGTTATGGATGTTCAAATCTGGTTGTTCATCCTTGAATAAACGTTAATAGTGCTGTTGTCGCTTTCCATTCCATTTCCATGCACTTTTTTCGAACCATCCTACCTAAAATTATTTGGAAGATTATTATTGCTTCAATCATGCTTCGACAATTTCAAGGAAAAGTATCCATAATTTTCCTCCAAAATAAACATTTTATCAAAAGAAATTTGGCACCTCTCAAATGTTCATACGGCGTTCCTACATAGCACGGCAGATCAGCCTTTTGCCTGTCGTTAGAGAATAACGTAATACATGAAAAGCAAATCAAAATAGTTCAAAAAAAGTCTTTTGATTTCTTCAGTCGAACCACTTTTTCACCAAGAAGGAAAGAAATTTTGCATGTTTTTCCAGGCTCTGTTGCGTGAAAATTTAAATAATCTAGTTTTTTCTCCCCCAACTACTGGTAGAATCTTTTTACATTTGCATTATCAACACATCGCAATTCATTGAATTAGTATCTGTATAATAGGCATCTCTCTAATTCTTACCTCTCTCTTGATTGCAGGAATGAGTAAAGAACAGTATAGAGACGCCATCAAGTTTATGGCATCGATAGAATTGATGGTAAATGCAGCACCATACAGGAAGTATAGGCCTAATTTGAAAGAATATATCGGCCATGAAAAAGTGTGGTAAGAAATGGTCCTCATAGCAATATGTTTTCTAATTTCAGAGTATCATGAATGATGAAATTGTGCAACTTTTTGTGATTTTGAGGAATATATGTTAAAGTTCGGATATTGAGAAGAAAATCACGCTGCAACTGAACTCCATGCTTTGATATTGAGACCAAAAAATAAACACAAGCTCCTCAAAATATAAGACAAGTCTACTCAAAATGGCTAAAATCTTAACTTTTTAAGCGTATTTTCGTTGATGATCGGTGGAGCCAAAATGCCGCAATAATGGCGGCAAGATCATAATCGGGTTTGTAAACATTTGAGGTTAGACTTTCGAATTTGATGCAAGTTGGATGCCATCATCTTCATCAGGTCATCTCTAAACCCTACTTTTTGTAGGCTTTTATTTTGACTCCAATGTTTGCAAGAATTCCACCTTCTATCCGTCTTGCGAGTACAGATGTTGTTCCGAAGATTTATGATCGCGCCAAAACAAAATACGAAACCGCTTGATCCACCCATTTTGGTCAGACTGATCATCAACGAAAATACGCTGTTTCATAACCAGGCTAGATTTTGCCTGTCTATGTTTAACGACGGATTGGTTCCCATGCAAACTAAGTGGAGCGCTCTCTGCCAGAAATTGGCGAAAGTTTTAGTTCAGGTTTTCCTTAACAGGTGGAGCTACTGGGAGCTGATTATTGAAATTTATAGACAAAAAAGACATACGGAGTACGCAGCAATCCTATTGGTTGAAGTGAGTGGTTCTTACAGACCAAGGAAGAAAATGATGGACTAACTGTAAGGCCTCTCGTGGTTTGCCGTTAATCAGTCTATTACCTACTTCCTTTGTCCATTGCAACCACCGGCTTCCACCAACAGGATCCTTCCATTCCCCTTTTGTCTTCTTTGTATAAAGCTTTGTCTATCAATTTCAATAATCGGCCCGCAGATGTAAGTACTTCTAAGTGGATGCTGTTGAGTAATGGCAGAAATGCTGTGAGAAGGATATGGTTTTGCTGAACGCAGATGCTGTGTTACTGAGACAAAATGTAAGGGTCAATATTTTAAAAAATTTATCCAGCTCTCATGACATACCCTTCAATTATATGTACTGTCAAAATGTATCATCTCTCTTAACATGACATAAATTGCCTCATTCATCAAGAAGGAGATCTGTATATCATACAAACACTGTATTTTACTTTCCTTGAATTTTTTTGTTCACTCTGTTTCGTTTTGTTTAAAAAAGTTTTTATTATTAAAAATCAACTCTTTTTTCTCTCGTATCACCAGTTTCATTGAAATAAAAACCTCTGGTCAAATTTTTGGCTTCCATAGTGAACGAAGCAATACAAATTAGGATTTTGAGATTTTAGACTCAGAAATTGTTTAAAAATTCATTGGAATTCTTTTAATTTGGTAACAAACTGAAGGACTAAATTAAATAAAAGTTCAATCGAAAAAAGGTCCCCCCAAAGTTTCTGAATCCTTTCGGCTAATTATTATTTTTACTTAGACAATCTTGGTACGAATCTTGTTTATCCAGGTGGCACTTCGCTTACAAATGTATTCTAGAGGAAACTGTGAGAAGAAAACGGCGCAATTGGGACTGGGACCATATCAAGGCTCACCGAAACATCTGCAGAGAATATGCTCATTTGTATACAAAAAAATTAACAGCTGGAAATAAAATGTCCGGCGTAGAAAATCTAAGTCTGACACAGTGCGAAAATGAATTGGATGCTTTTAACATCATACTTGTGCGTCAAAAAGTGGAGAATGATGTAAGTGCAAAATACCAAATCTATCAAGAAACATGCCTCCCAATACTACATATACCAGCAACATGATAACTGGACCGCGTTAAGCAGAAAGGAATCAAGCCACATCAGCTATTGCCAATTTAATTGAGCAATTTATTTTTTTACATGGAAACGGTGGTGCGGATTTTTGTACAAATTTCAGAGAATTTTTTGCACAGTTCAAAGCGAATTTCTCAAAATTTTCAAAGAAATCTGCACAAACGTTCTCTTGTAAAAAATTAAATTGCCCAGTTAAATTTGGCAATACCTGATGTAACTTGGTTCTTTTCTGCTGAATGCGGTGCGCATGTAACAAATAATTGCAGTCATAGTATATACTGTTCAGAATACCCTCACTAATACCATACTCCATACTTAACTTTCTCTATGCTATCTCACCGCAAGAACCAGATTTGAGCACTCATCTTTTTTTAATTTGAAGATGGAAGTTTCTTTTTTCAAAATCATAAGAAAGTTTAATGATGAATGGAGAATTTGCAGGTGTCTGAAATTCGACGAATTTCATTTATGAGTGGAAACTACTGAGAGAACTGAGCACCAAAATATCCTTGGTTCGTAAATTGAACAATAAATGGAGGAGTTTTGACAGAATTATGCAATTTGCTGAAATATGTGTGTTAAAATGGGAAATACCGCCATATGGCAGCCTACGGCGGTATATTTTCTCACTTTGTGAGACTAGTCAAGTCAGTGAATATTTTGTCACCATGAAATGTCACATGTCTGCAACGTCCCAAACCAAAATACATTGTTTGGGAGTTTACGGTCAATATACGGTACAGAGTGAGCCCTTTTTTATTTTATTTTTTCAAATTTTACCGTGAAACACTTGTAATTGCTGAGCACTTTTTTAATATCTCGATGATAGAGCTTCCTTCTTGCTGAGTTTGAAGTTGCATTTATGCAATTTGTTTCTTTCTACATAATTTTTTCAATGTCTCTCCAGAAATGAAAAAAAAATGTCACCAAATTCCTCCAATTGCAATACCTGAAAATTGTGTTTTGAATGTTGTCATTTTAATCTGTTAAGTCTATGCAATATTTTTTTTTAAACCTTCTTGTAACTAAGAGGCACACGTCGAAGCAGTTAAATGCTGAAACATTAAAAACTTTAAGCTGGGTGGTTGGGCTCTTGCCTGAACTTTCCACAATAAATAAATTTGAATTAAGGTAATCTAGCTCAGTAATCGCTTGGTAGCTTAAAAGGAGTAACAAGCATATGACACTAATCAACTGAAAATTTCATATTTGATTAGATTGAGAGGCTTGGAAGACTTGCGCAAGTGAAAAAAGCAAATCAAGCTGCTAGTGGCTGGTTCAGTAGTTGGTGGTCAGCAAAGGAAACAGATGCAGAAGCAGAGGATGAAATCAGTATGTTATTTCTTTGTCAGCTCTATTTAAATTAATTACTTTTTTTGAGTTGAAAGGTTTGTTTTTTCACGGGAAAAATGGATTGCTGATTTAACAATTAAATTGTTAAAAAATATGTCCAACATGTTTCAATTATACATTTTAAAATAGTGGAAAGCTAATTTAACCACAGGAGTGGTTAAATTAGCATTTTTTATTGTAAAATCTACATTGAAACTTATTGGACACTTCTTTAACCACAAAATTGTTGATCAGCAATATAATTTTTTTCCGTGTTGTATCAGGTGATAACAGGCTTGCAAATTGTACTCTTTTTTGTTACCTTTTACCGCTTAATTTAGGAATTTTACTTCTTTTTCAATCATTCAGAAGCAGTGTTCGAAACTCACCTTCGAGTTTTAGGAGCCAAGTGGCGCATCAAGCCCGATTTTTAGACGCCATTGAAGATTTTTTAGGGGCCAAATTGACTTATTGCCTATATATGATGGCGCATTCAGTGAAAAGTTAGATGCAAGATGTTTTCATAACAGAACTAGTAAGTAGCTGTAACTTGGGGAAGACAAAAGCACAAAGGATGAACTCGTGAAGAATAGAAAAAGCTTACACTTGTAATGCTGAAAATTTCGAATGATCACCTGATATGAAAATTCAGATATTTAGGGGGCAATTTTTAGGGGGCACGTTGGCGCAGAGCCTTCATTTTTTAGGCGCCATAGCCGTTTTTTTAGGCGCGGTGACGCCTGTGAGTTTCAAACACTGTTCAGAAGTAGCTGTACTCTGGGCAATTAAATTAGACAGAGTAAAAAAAGTGCATCTTTTTGTGAACAGAGAACAGCAACGTCCGATCCTGGCAAGGAGCCGCTGTCCCTGGGCCGAGCTCACTGCGTTTTTGTACCCATTAAGTAAATGCTTGGTCTTTCCTTGACGACCTGTCCCTCGTCAAAAAAGCCTCTGCTGGTTGGCAAAAAATCGTTTTTGCAATTTGAAGTGTTTCCCCTTTTTTAACAGATTCAGATTCAGTTTCCAATCCTGATGTTTTTTGTTTAGCGCGGAGGATCATTTGGTAAGTGTTCTTTTTGCTCTTTGACTGCCAGTGTTTAAGGATCGAACTAATGTTTGAGTTATTGAAATTTTTAATTCAATAATTAGGAGATAGCCGTCCAGTGAAAGGGTGGCGACAGGGGGTTTTATATGAACTAAGATAGTGTCAGTTCTCTGTAGGGCTCTGAGAGGATAGGGGACTGTGACGTTTAGATGTTGCAGAGCACAAGAGAGCACTATGAAAGTAGGTCCTATATGTGTACTCACATAATTTTACATCTCTCTTTTTTTCAGTAAAAAAGTTTGAAGAAGCAATGAATGCAGAAGAGAAGCAGAAACTGTACCGAGCAATCGACTATCAAGAGAATGCAACCCCTGCTATTTACCCAGTAACCTTCAATGAAACTGAAATCCAGTTTATGTTACACTCTTTTGAGGTAGAGATCAGAGATGAAATCTTGGAGATGCCGCGAGTTCTTACCGTGGTGTTGAAGCAAGTTCAATCCTTCTTTCAGCAAAGACCTGCTGCTAAAGCTTTCAAGTAAGTGGGGTCTTTTTTTACTGTCGGTGTGGTTGGTTGCTTACTATGTATATTGTGCCTTAACATCTCCAGGTCTCACACAACGTTTACAGCATTTTTCAATTGCTAATTGAGCCCTCCTTAGTAGCAACGACCGTTAAAAAAACTTTTAAAAGAATCTTAAATTTCTAAAAGATAACTCTTAAAAAAACTATTGAAATGTTCGTAGTAGAAAACCCTTTTTGGCTATTTTTTAAAATAAAATTTGCGAGTGGTATTTAAGTAAAAAAATGTTTGAAAACTCTTAAAATATCAACTGTAATTTTTCAACACTAAAAATGTTTGAAAACAATGTTAAATAACTACAATGACATTTTAAGAGTTTTTTTAACACCTTTTCCCTTAAATTTTACTTAAAAAATAGCCAAAGAGGGCTTCCAAATACAAAAATTTTAACAGCTTTTTTGAGAGTTTTTGGGAATATTTTTAAGGGTCATTCTATTCCATTTCACTCAAGTCGTACTTGAAGAGTGAGTGCTCCATTGAGTGATTTTTATGTGACTCCAATATGAACAAGTTTAAAGTTAAAAAATTACATGGAAACTCATAACCTTAGCATTTCTTAACCCTAATTAAAGTTGTCAATGTATTCGATCCTTTCACAATATTGATGGCTTAAGTCGGAATAACGCTCACCTTGGAAATTGCAACATTACAAGTCTCTTACTGCTCATGTCTTATTGTTTTATTTTTTTTATTTTTATTTCAATCATACTTACAAGAGAGCCCCGAATTGGGACTGAGACACAAGTCAAAAGTCCCCCTCCTACCCCAAACAATTAGTTATAATAGGATTAATAGCAAATAATTACAATAAGATAATTAGTTACAAGCACAGAAGGATCATAAAAAAAATGTCCATTGCAAAAATGTCATTCATCTGCACCTGACAAAAATTTTGGGAAATTTTAAAATGGAATCCCTAATAGAAATTTCGTAGTGATATAATGAAAGAAGAGCTATTGCTTGATATTCCAGGGCAAAGCACTTGTAATCTTGACAGTTTTGAAAAAAAACTACTCTTCTCTTGAATTTTGTTATGAATTCTCTTGACTTTCCTGTATTTGTACCTACAAAAATATGCAAATATTTCACATGAACTATAAAAAGGAGATATTTCTTCTTCTTCTTCTTCTTCTTCTTCTTCTTTTTTGAACAGTAAGTTGTAATAGGATATTTTTCAGAGTGGAGATTTTTTTTTTCTCTGAAGTCATCAATATACTACACTGTGAGATTAGCTTCAAGTTGTATTTGAAATGAATAAGTCTCTCGGTTTGTAGAATGTCAGCGTATTCAGAGCACCCCCAGACACTGATGTAACTTCTACTCTGTGACATAAGAATTTTAATATTTTTAAAAAATGTCTTGCAGCATCTTCACGCATGGTATCCGTATCCTTCAAAGTAGGTATCAAAAATATAGTTCAAATCTAATAAACGAAATTTTACGCTAAATTTGGCTACACAGCTTTACAACGTATTGGCGGGAAAGAGAAATCACGTGGTTTGGCACTTCAAAAATTTGTAGGTTATGTTGGTTCTCATTATTATTGTATTATTGTTTTTGTACTTGCTGTCATGCAGTTCGAGTTCGTTCGCTTGGTTCGTTCGTTTCGTTTATCCACATCGTTCATTGTTTTCTCTGGTGTAATTCAGTGTTAATTCTCATACAATTACAATTGGTGGTCACTTTTCTCTGTTACTTCCATAATTGAGTAATTATTAAATTAAAAATGTTTATCTGAAATGGAATTGTGAATTCTTCCGTGTTTGCAAATCAGTTTTTTGTCACTTCCATTAGAAGTTATCCAGTTAACAAAGACAGTCACTCCTCTGTGACATTATACAAATACGCATAATGAGCAATTCTGATGCTCACATTCAATGTTTTTTCTTCCTACCCAAAACAACCTCTGGACATGGAATTAGGAAATGCCCTCTGTCGAGTAACAAGACGACCGAGGCCTTTGTGTTATTGCCCCACTCAGTGGTAAAAGATGACTGTGAAGTTGTACAATTGTTTTCGCGCAACAGTATTGAAATTCTTACCCTTCTTAACTGTGCTCCTTTATTAGAGGCATTAGCTCGCAATGATGTTGATACATTGGAACTGATAGTGCGGAAGGATCCAAAAAGATTTCTATTCACCTCTGAAACTACACCATTTCTACCTGTTCATGTGGAAGCCCTTGACCATCTTGAGAGAATAGAAGCCTTCCTTGGCAAAGATGCAGCAATTTATTGGGATCCCATGGATAGTCGTAACCTCTGCTTTCGTACAGATGCAGAAATTTATTGGGACTCCCTGAATAGTCGTAACCACTGCTTGACTGCAAGTGAAGGAAACATCGAAATTATCCAGACACTCCTGAATGTTTCTACCAATATTGGCTACAGGTTCTGGGATAAGTCTCTAGCTCATCTTGCAGCTGAGAGGGACGATGAAATTTTGCTCCGCCTGCTCTTGGATCATGGAACAAACGTAGATATTCTAAACAACAAAGGGGAGACTCCTTTATACTCTGCCATTACTTATGGCTCTAAAACAGCTGCCACCTTTCTTTTACAAAACGGGGCTGCGTTGAACATGCGGATGATCAGTGGTGAAACTTGTCTTCTTGCTGCATGTAAACACATAGGGTTGAAAATAGCAAGTCTCCTAGTCAAGATGGGTGCAGATGTGAATATTGGAACACAGAACGGGATTATGCCCCTTCACGTTCTCATCTATCGTTTTGGTGCATGGATGTCTCATGATCACGGTAAAATTATGGATTTTTTAAATGAGCTGTTAGACAAGGGTGCAGATGTCAATGCCTCTGCCACTTATGGTCTTACGGAAGGCTTTACTCCACTATGTCAAGCTGTGCTTTCTGGAAAGTTTGAGATGGTGAAATGTTTGTTAAAACGAGGAGCAGACGTCAATATTCATTGCTACAACAATCAAACCATACTCAGACTTGCAGTTGACAGTAATAGTCCGGAATTAGTCCAAGAGATTTTAAAGTATAATCCTCAAAAAAACTGTAAAATCAATAAAGATGCACTCAGAGTTGCGATTTCAAGAGATGGTGAACGTTCTGATAAGATTGCCAAGTTACTTCTGAGTTCAGGGTTCACCTCAGAAGAATGCTCAAATGATTCAATTGAGTTTTTGCATACTGCTATTCGAAAAAATTATACCAGTGTTGTTGAACAACTCATCCGATCTGGTGTCAGTGTTAATCAAATTTACTACTGTTCTCATGGAAAAACTCCTTCAATTACATCATCTCCTCTTCTCACAGCAATCAGGTATTGTAACAATGACATGGTCAGACTGCTCATAGATCTTGGAGCTGATGTTAACATGGAATCACAATGGGAAATTGGTGTTCGAAGTCCATTAAGAGAAGCTTGTTCATCCAGGAATTGGACAGCTGTCAAAATTTTGCTCAATAAGAACATTTATTTGGAGAATGAACTTAGTTGGGGTACTGCAGTTGATTGCGCTCTATTTAGTCTTGAACCAGAAATAATTAAAATAGTTTTATCTCAATTATCATCCAAAGCAGCGGGTAGAATTTTCTTGTTGAAATATATTTTTCGTATTTCAAGTGACTCCCCGCTAATGCTGACAGAAATGATAAAAACTGGTTGTTTTGTCAACGTCAGGGATGTAAATGGCAGGACAGCTCTTCATTGTCTTGAGGAGAACAAGTATTGTACAGCAGTCAAATTACTCATTCAAAGTAATGCTGACATTGAGGCCAGAGATTTTTCTGGACAGACACCCCTTCATGCTGCAAGTTTCGGTTGCCTTAAGGTTGTTAAAGAGTTGTTGAAATATGGTGCTAAAATTGATTCAATAGACTCTCATGGCCGCTCACCCCTCCATTACGCTGTTGTCGAAGATTGCTTAGATGTCTTTGAAGTATTATTATGCCATGCTTTTACAGACTTTGAAAGCATCTCGAGAACCAATATATTGTCATTCCTCCGCATTTCTACCCTCGAAGGTTTAAGAAATCATGGAGATGAAACTTATTTTCATCAAGAATTCAGGAATCCTATGGAAAGATTTCAAAATGCTACTAAGATTTTGTTGATACAATTGATGAAAATGTCCAAAGTCTTCCCTGACGATACAAACTTGGTCGATTTTGTTCAAAAGGAAATCAAACCTGGGAGTTTTACTGATACAAGAGATTATGATACGACAGCTTTTGGTCTCTCCTCCTGCTTTCGGAAGTTTAATTGTGGAATGTTTGAAGTAGAAGTAAACAAGATAAAGCTGCAAAATATCGGCGACTCAAGCATCACATTATTTGATATTTTGACAAAAAACGAAGAGCAACTGGCATGTTACTTCCGGAACGAGCATATCGCCTCAAGCTTATCGTTTGAGGAACTTCCTGAAAGATCTTTTTTTTTCCGCAACTTTATTCATTGCCAAATTCAAAAAGGAGCCTTCAGGCGCAAATTGTTGGACTTGAGCATTAAACTTTGCCGTTTTCTCATCAGTGAATTTGACACTTTACCTGCTGATCTAAAAGAAAAAGTCCTCAAGTATCTATCTAACAAAGACTTGGAAGTGTTAATTCACGCATGTGTTTGTGTCTCAGGCAGCTCTTTAGAAAAATGTTTATCAGAAAGAAACTCCCAAATATAGTAAGTATCTATCATTTCAATGTGGGTATTTGTATTTCTCATTGACTTATAACACAATCTAGACCGCGCACTAGGCCCAACTTTAGGCGGGGGAGGTAAGATAGCTAGAGGGGTAAATCAGGGTAAAGACACGCCTTCAGCTTAGTTGATACAGCCTGATATACAAAGTGTACCAGGCAACAGCACAGACAAGACTGGCATTTCCATTGTCTCGGTACATATTGGATTGCTGTGTACCGAGACAATTCGGGTTGCCTATCGTCTTGCCAAAACTTCCTAATGCGTGGTCTAGATTGTACTATACGTCAATGGTACTTCTTGAAAGAATAAAAGACGTCCATGCTGGAAATTACAATTTTGCCAACTTTGCTTAGCACCACTGTCATGAGCATTTTGGCATCGAAAACGCCCTAAAATGTGAAAAGAGCCATGATGCTTTGAAACTCGCAGTTAAGAAAATGTACCTATCTAGTTTCCAGGAAAGGTCGTGATTGCTCACATTAGGTACACTCTAAATTATCACAACTTGATTACTTTGATCGCCTGTTGTCCATTAACTGTAGTTCATGGGCTCAAAATTGCACCAAATCTTTTTTTTTCTTCTTTTTATTAAGCATTTTTGTGAACTTCTACACATGAGAATTTTACACATTGTAACTAAATTTAAAAATAAAGTGGATGTTGCAAACAACAGAGTGGTTTACACCGTTTATAATATGTTGTCCAAATCTTTTGCAGACCATTTTTTTAATAGGAGAAGTGTCTCCTGTCCAAAGCTGCATTCCAGTTCTTTAATTTGTTTACATTTACCTGTTAGATTAGGTATTTTGTTTATTCTGTGAGGTTTGCATTTTCCATCTGATCAAGAGTAATTCTTCCAGGTTAAGCAAAATTTAGGCAGCATAATAGTAATTCACTGAGTTCCTATAAGAACTGCTTTAATTTTGATTTCTCATAACAATAATTGATACTATCAGAGGCTAAATTCGCATATAATCTCCTAGTACTGAACTTAATTATTATAATTTCTGGTAATCTACTAATAATTATGTTAGGTGACCGTAGAATTAATGTTTTCAGTTCAATTTAGATTCTTTATTATGGAGTTTTTGTCAGTTTCATTCAAGCTTTTGGATTTTCCTTCAAGTTTGCTTTATGTAAACCATTTTTGCTGATTTTTTCACTCTCCTAACCCCGGTTAGCCAACCTCCCACCTTTGAATAACTTAAACCTATCTTGGCTGCCTTTTCCAAATTTTTCCAAGAAATGACACTGAATATTTGAAAAATTTCTAAAAGAAAAAAATGACTATTGGATACTATTATTTTTTTTGAAAGTGGGAAGTTTACATAAGCCTTGGCCTAAGCCCTCTCCCACATAAGACCTTGTAAGCAAAGCTCAGACCCCTGCCCTACCCTAAGTACAAAGCCTAACTTTTATTACGAAAAGCCATTGATTGAAGGAATAAATATTATTTCTCACAAATGTAATTCATGACTGTTCAAAAAATAGAAAACCTACCTCCTTTAAAATTTCTATATTTCGCTCAATATTGGAAACAAAGAAATGAGATTTTGTACCATTACTCAGTAGAAAATGGTCAATCAGAGAAGTCATTCTATGCAACAGTTCAAGTTTTTAAATTCCTCATTATTTGAAGCCTCCCTTAAAATCCTCTTTGTTCATTCTGTTTTAGGCTAGTAGCCTCCATCGATACACTTTCTGTTTTTGGACTGACACAGAACAACGAAGTGCCATTACTGGTATCATCTAAAAAAGGGAAATTACCAGTCTCAGAGAGGACTTCCGATTTGGCTCCGTCCAACAATCTTTTCCACGTTTTGATCGAAACCAACCCGCTTGACAAAAAGTGCGACCAGCGGGTACACATCTCATCTACTCCATTGCAGATTGTATACGATGCTCAAACAATTATCAAGCTCAACGACGTTTTCACACCGGAAAAAGCTGAACTCGATGTTGCCACTGTGTGAGTACCGAGGAGAATCTATTTTATATTTGTCTCAGAGTATATATTCTGAAGTAATGTTCATGCCACTCTTTAATGCATAGGAGATGGAAAATACTCACACCCTATATGAATCTAGCCTAGAAGAAGCTTTTGATTTAAATTCATCGATTTCAAAATCCTAGGTAGTCCTATAATTTGAGGAGAGTAAATATATTTTAAAATTTACTTAAGACTAAAGATAACAATTCACCCGGTTTTCTCTCTCTCGTTTTTGGCCCATTATATCCACATTAGAACTATCTTAAAACTGCAGTAACCTTTTTAAATTGTCTATGTATTCACTAAAGGAAGAGCCCCCAGTGAAATTATCAAAGTAAATGTGACTATTAGTTGATGAATTGCGTGGAATAATAATTGAAAAAACATCTAATAAAAAATTAATTATTATACTAGACGCATTTTGGGGCTCCCTGGCTCCTTCAAGGCTGAATTCCGACCAGCTGCCAAACCAATTGTCTCATTGTCTGCTTTACCTCCCTAGCTTGCTCGAAAACAAAAAATCTCCTCGATTGCCAGTAAGACGTCGCAACATTTCTTCTAGATAATGTGTGTACGAATGCCGAAAAATGCACCTTTCAGCCCTGCTCTTGCTGGCTGCTCTACCTGCTGGCACATTGACAGTCCAATTTCAAATCTTATTGTGCACAGAAGGCTGTAAGGGACATCATATAAAATATTATCGAAATTTAGCCAGCCCCGAATTTCTTGGTATTCTGTGCGAAGTCCTTAGATATGAATAATTCCAAGAGGATTAGAGGAATCAAAAGCAAACACAAAACTGCATAGTGGAAAAACAGAGGTATAGAGCTGTGAGCTGATAAATGATACTCAAAAAGGAATTTTAGAATAAATAAAAAAATTCAAACTTGTAAACTAAAATTTTCAATTTATGGGCTTGACCTTTTTCATTTATCTTTTAAGTTCTTTTCGTTAATAGTTAAATCATTCCAGTTTTAAAAATTCCGTGCAAAACGCAAAATTGCCACCATCATATGATTAGAATCTTAAAAAATGCACAATTAGAGCTAACAATATGATCAATATATCTTATTTTTTCTTTGGTCAGTGCTAAATTTAGTCTAAACTCAGTCGTTGAGTCCCTTGCTTCTCTGGGCAGGGTCCTTTCTTGCGCAGATTTTGAGGTAATGAGTGAAAAGTAGACTTTGCCAATGCGCTCACCATGATTTTCAAGCCCCCTTGTTTAAGGAACAACTCTAGTTATTGCTCCAGCTGAAGTTGGCAACAAACCTATCAGTTTACTGTCGCGAAACAGGGAAGCCTAGTTCACCCAAAATACAAGTTTCCTCCATAAACTGATATGTGTTTTTTAATTTTTTCAGATTCTCTGCAGCTGCCACCGTAAAAATAGCTGAGTTCAAAGAACGCTCCTCCTTAGGTTTTCAGTACACCTTAGAAAAACACGGCGTTTTGGAATTGAAAATAGAATTGATGGCATCTTATTGTTTGATACCACATGGGGGCCATTACACAGGGTAATCGCCTTTGCATCATTCTTAACTGTAATTTTGTAATTTCCTTGACCAGTCTTATAATTTCAGTGCCTTCACATCGCAAATCCACTTAAAAAGCAGGCATTAGTGCTTAAAAATAAGGGACCCTAACTGTGCATTGCACTATGTTGCAGCTTCTATTATTTTCCATTCGCGTTCTTACCAGGGTGTCTACAGGTTATATAATCATTCAGTCTTATTGCCATATTTTAATTTTGGTTGTATAATTATATGAAAGTCACAAAAAATTGCCATATTTTTGTCTCATAGCTCGATTTTTGGATCAAAATTTTCGGTCAAGCGACCAACTTATGCAAGTATATGAGATAGCAATACTTATCAAAGTAGAGAAAAATCACATTTTTATGGCCTGTAATATTATCAAATCTAATATTGCTAATAGCAATAGATTGTTACTTATATGGGTTGATAATTATCATTTGAAATCATTGCCTCCAATCAGAATTGCTTTAATGGTAGTGTGGATGTGCTAGCTACAGAAATGGTGGCCCTAAAAAGGGCCGTTTTCGAATGATGGAGCAAAGAGCTCAGGTGATGGCGAGTCGGAGCGAGAGCGTGTGGCGTGTGAGAGGACCTGCAAGAGAATGGTGAAATGGAGCTCGCGGCTGCACATATTTATAGTGCGGGCGCGCGGGAAAGCATGACGGGCTGCGCTCTCATTGGCTGGTGACGAGGGTGCCAGGCACAAGGAGCTTCGCTCTGGTTGGCTGGTGGCGATGGCGCCACACAGCCCCCCAACCAGTGGCGGAGACACTAGAGACGAAGGCAGCTAAAGAATGCTTGCGGCGGTTCCTGTGAACAGAAAAACGGTTTTCTGCATGGGCGCAGAGGACGAGTCGGTTTTTTNGAACTAAAAGCTTTTTTATTAGCAAACTACTCAAACTTACTCTTTGTACATAATGCTTTGCTGATGACCAAGTAATTATCGCCCGAGATTTAGATGATGCTTAGTACTCGACTCGAAAGTTGGTGGCTGAGTATCGGAAATGGGGCCTTGAGGTTAATGTCAGCAAAATGGAGAAGATGATCGTTGGCAGGAATCAGCAAAGCATAGAATTAGATGATGGGCGGCAAAGTGGAAGCTGCAATATTTACAAATATTTAGGAGTTTTTCTAACCCAGGATGGACGATTTGAATAGGCCATCAAGAACAGAAATGTGCATGGTAGGAGGGCAATAGCTATGTTAAATAGAGTCCTTCGGGACCAAAGGATCTCCAAAGAGAACAAAAGAAGGATCTACAACGCGATTGTTAAGAGCATAGTAACCTACGGGTGTGAAGTATGGCCAATGAAACAGCGGACCCAGGAAGTTTTAGAGGCAACAGAGATGAACTTCTGGTGTAGATCCGCTGGTATTTCCAGAAAGGATCGCGTCAGAAATGAAACGGTATGGGGGATCATGGATGCCAAACGGACCATTGTGCATGACATTATGACGTTACAACTCACTTGGTATGGTCATGTTCAGAGAATGGAAGGAGACAGGTTGCCGAAGAAGGTCCTTGATTGATCGGGTTCCTCCCGGGAGAAGGCGTTGTCTGATTTCCCCTTTATAAAAAATAATAATAATTATAATAAATTCTAGAAATCAATTTCTCAGCATTCTCAACTCATATCAGACCAATTCACAAAATTAAAACGTGTAAAATGATGTAAAATTGCGATGTTCCCAAACGGTCTCCATTCCAAGCATTACGATCAATGTAGCTTAACCTTGGTGATCGAGCGAACAACTCTGCACTAGACGTCAACTTTCAACCGCGCAGTAATGAGATCCTTTGTTCAGCAGCACGCAAGCGCCGCCGCCAATGACGAGTCAGCGCGCAATCGCAGTATCCGCCGCAGCCAATCACAAGTCACCGCGGCGCACGAGATTTGAACTCCGCCACAACAGAGCCCGCGCAATGCAAATTCAGCGGCCAGCGGCAGCTTTCCCGCCCAATTCACTCTTGCTTCGCCAACCGACCAATCACAAGCAAGTTGGTTTCCCGCATTCGCACACAAAGGAAATCTGCATATAAATATACCCGCAAATCGCCAATTAATTCACTCTGAATGCAGCAGTCGACCAAGAAGCACCTCACTCTCAAGCTCTCAACAAGGATCAAGTCAAATCAAGCCAAGCAAGCAGCTGAAGAAACATCCTAAGAAGCTCAGCAAGAAATTGGCGTTTTTTGGATCAAGACCGAAGTTCAGTTTCCCGTTATATTGGCACCAAGGTCAAGCATTAGCGGTCATCATTACACAGAACGAAGCAAATTCATCTTTTCAAGCATCCAAAATTATTCACATTCAAGCCATCTCTATTTCGGACTCATACAGTTTGTATACCACCTCCAATTTTGGAGAAGCCGATTCTTCGGAATCTGGAATAATAATACGTGCAATCGCACATAGCTCTCAATATTCAAACCCTTCTGGTTTTCCTGCTCACTGCAGAAGCCGGTGTACTATACGCCTGGTAACCCTTCAGGTTTCCTATCCAAGGATAGTAGCCGATTCACTCTGAGTC